TGTGTGTGTGTGTGTGTGTGTGTGAGTGTGTGTGTGAGTGAGTACAGGTTTGTGTGTGTGTGAGTGTGTGTTTGTTCATTTGTTTGTTCGTAAACATACTTGGTGTATCAAACTACTGACCAGAACGTCGATTAAAAAAACAAAAAAAATTTTGACTTATCAATGAATATTACGCAATCATATTTCCACCTTCAGTTTTTCTCAAATCTTGTCAATGGAGATAAGCACAATCAAACGCATCATTAAAAAGGAGGCGAACTAGAAGTAAATGAGAAATTCAGACAAGCAGGCTCGTAGTACAATTATAAGTAGCTTTGTAAATGTGTGACTCTCTGTATGGTTATGCGATGGAATGCATATGAAACAGAGAGTGAATGCCCCCCCCCCAACCCCCTTTTGCTTTCTAAATCTCCCCCCCCCTCTCTCTCTCTCTCTCTCTCTCTCTCTCTCTCTCTCTCTCTCTCTCTCTCTCTCTCTCTCTCTCTCTCTTTCTATCTATCTATCTATCTCTTTCTCTTTTCCTTTCTCTCACGTACAATCTATCTTTCGACTTATATACCAGGCTACATTATGTCCATCTATTTATCTGTCTATCTGTTTAAAGTTTAGACAAGTCTTAGTTTGTCTATGAAAAAGAACCCTATGAAAGTCAATAGCTTAAATCCATTCAGCCCTTTGCATTTACAACTCAAACTTGGTTGTCCCTCGAAGCTCTACAACAATGAACATATCTAGTTCTGGTTACACAACAAAACATTTCACTGCAAAGCCCACACTCACGTAATGGGAGCCGACCGGAAGTTGCCCTGAGAGTATCGACCGACCAATCAATCAGCAGAGCCGAGCGCCCTATGCGCCTTCGGCAATGTTCGTTTTATTCCGGCGCCACGACAACCTCTTATTGCTTGAGTGGAAAATATAATGGTATAGTCGCGAATGGGGCTGATACTGCTTTAAAAGGTCGGAGTTCACTGATTATTTCTCTCTTCATTTTGGCTAGTATGTCGAAATGCGACAGTGCAATTACAGGCAGGACGAGTACTGGCTGCTATACCAGCGACTTTAGTGTGAAACTCAAGGGAAGCTTCTGAGCTTTTCTCGGTTTTTTTCGGTTTTTTCCCCCAAGGTCGTCGTTATGTCATCGCTACTTTAGAATTACAAAGTTCTTTATGTTCAGCACATAGTTTTGAGAAATTTGACGTCACAATGTTAGAGTTTCACAACATTTCAAGTTTTTTTAAATACGTTTCTTAGAAAATATTGACAGTGACTTCAAATATTCTTACGATTTTGACAGAACCGGTAGAACATTTGGTTTCAGATTACTTGGTTTCTGTTTTTGTTCAGGAGAGGTTTTACGGCGCTCGCAACTGCATAAGGTCATTTGAGCCCCAAGGGGTGGATGCCCTTAGAGGGAATCAGACTTATTCTGTTCACCTCTTTAGTGTCAACAGCATAAAATTTGCTTCGATTATCAAGGCACCCCGGAAATAGCGGGTCACAAGAGTGTGACAAACATACAAAAGAAGTAGAGAAAAAATGACGATAGTAAGGATTAAGAAAGGAAAAGCAGTAGCTCCCTGTTGCCGTTCAGGCAGTTATAAGCATACCCTTAATGAATCAGCCCATTTACAATTACAATTCGCCTGTGCATAAGAACATGGTTAATGCACCCCCCCCCCCTCCTTAAGAATGACCTAGAGACTTTTCAGTCAGTAGCACTGCCCCGGGGGAGTTAAGTAACTCAGAAGGGACAAAAATATCGTATAGAAGTTTATCATTCTAATGTAGCGATGATACATTTCGGAGATTGGCAATGTCTCTGAAACACCTTAGAAAAAAGAAGTGGCATTTATTCATCAATCGAACTAGAAATAGTAGATCTATGTCAGATCCTACACCGGATACATTAATCGATTGACTAGTTGTCTGGTAGGTCTGGAAGCTCTCTCAAGTGTCTCCTCTCTCCAAACTAAATGGGTCAATATTGAAACTACAGAGGAACTAATGGTGAAGCAGCGTGGTGGAATCAGGCTCTCGTCGAAATAATGAAATCGAAGAAAACAGCAGTTTTCTCCCTGATTTGCAGTTTTTATCAATTATTTGTTTTTTTGCTCAACACCTTTTATGTCCATTTACAAGCACATTCCTTTGAGGACTTCACCGAAAACGTTGATTAAAGGCACAAACATATAAATTTACAGCTTCCATGGACTCTCCAGTTTTGGAATTTACCAAGCTTTGGCGGCCATTTTCTCGATAATTTTACCTCTTAAATCAGGTGACCCCTACCTCCTTCAATCCACAAAATCTCAACTTCTATTGAAGAAGGATGGGTAATTTTTTCATTGAAAGCAAGACAAATGAACAAGCGTTAAGATGATACCAATAACTCAATATGCCCAAAAATTGACGAGAGCCTGATTCCACCTCGCTGCCTCACAATGTGTTTGCCTCAACGCTCTCCTTGATTTAAAATTACTGCCCTTTTGACGATATGTTAGGAACTAAAAAAGATGTGGTAGAGAAATACATGTAATGCACTATGGGTGTATCTAAGAAGTGGACTCAGATTTCTTACAATACATCAGGATTGGAAATACGCTAATATGACAGAGGAAAACATTTGGTAAATTAGAATTGAGATCTAATTATAGAACAAGTCGCGCCTTAAGATCAAATTAATAAGAGGGGGTTCAGGCTTAGATGAGAAATGAGAGAGACAGATACCACAACAGATGAGAAATGAGAGAGACAGATAACACAACAGCAGATATAAATAAGATGACGTATGAAATGTATTTACGTCATATGCGACAGGCAGAAGCTCAGTGCGGCAAAGTGCAAACCGGAAACGGAAACAATACGTCGTCTGGAAAAGAACGAGTCCCAGGGGTGTTTTTAGAAAAGTCAGACTCAAAGATCGGAACGCTGTATTCCCATTGTGACAGTTGCAAGGGAAAACACTTGAGTTCTACCCACAGGAATAAACAGAGTGTGTACCGGGTGCGTTCTGTGTGCTTTATAGTTTCTTGGGAAATCATTTCTTGTTACCCAACTCATCAGCTTGGTTTGCGTATATGATATGATATAGTGCTATTACTGTTATTGTTATTATAATTTACAATATCGTCATCTCGACATAATGTTGCATTATATGCTGCATTATACCTACGTGAACGCCTATAATCATCCACACACACACACGCGCACACACACACACACGCGCGCACACACACACACACACACACACACACACACACACACACACACACACACAAACACAATCCCACACACACAATCACACACACAATCACACACACACACACACACACACACACACACACACAAGCACACACACACAAACACACATACACACACATATTCACACATTCACGCTGATAAACTAGTTCTGAGAAGCTGTTAATTTTGTTCTTCCTCTTTAGTAAATGAGTGTGCCTCCGGTCAAACCATGATGACCTTAACTAGGAGCAATCGTGAGAGCTGGTAGATCCGCCACTGTGAAAGCATCACATCTAGATCTACATCGGCTCTCAACAACTGCCTTTAGAAACTGTTTTACTCCGAGCAAAATGTGAGATGTAAGGAACTTGAAACGTGTCGTTGACGAAATGTCTCTACTGGAGATATCCAGAAATAGGAAAATATGTTAGGCAGCGTGGTGGAATCA